CGTCCTTGTTATAACTTCCATAAACATGTTCCTATTTGGCAGGGGTAGGGGAGGGGAAGGAGATCTTTGCAGATGTAATTAAGGACCAACACAAAATCATCCTGGATTTAGGGTGAGCTCAACAACTAATATCCTTTTTTGAGACAGAGTCTCGCTCTGTCACCTAGGCTGGAGTGCAATGGTGCAATCTCAGCTCATTGCAACCTCTGCCTCCTGGGTTCAAGCAATTCTCCTGCCTCATCCTCCTGAGTACCTGGGATTATAGGCATGTGCCAACACACCTGGCTAATTTTTGTGTTTTTAGTAGGGACGGGGTTTCACCATTTTGGTCAGGCTGGTCTCGAACTCCTGACCTTGTGATTTGCCCACCTCAGCCTCCCAAAGTGCTGGGATTATAGGCTTAAACCACCACGCGCCCAACCCTAGTATCTTTTTAAGAAGAAAAAGGAAGAGGGAAATTGGAGTTTCAGCCATGTAGAGGGAATAGGGCCTGTGAAGATGGAAGCAGAGGATGGAAGGGTGCAAACCCAAGTCAAGGAATGCCTGCAGCCACCAAAAGCTAAATGAGGCTAGGCATGATTCTCCCCCTATATCTTTTAGAGGGAGTGTGGCCCTCCTGGCACCTTGATTTTAGATTTCTGGTCTGTACAACTACAGGAGAATGAAGTCCAGTGGCTTTAAGCCACCAGCTTTGTGGTCATGTTTCAGAAAACAAATATAGAGACATAAAACTCAGGCTTGTTCTAAGGTCCCAGAAAAAGGGGAAGAAAAACAGATCACACTCAGTGCAGGGGTTGGTAACGATCACTAACCCCAATGTGCATTAGGCTCTGTGGTAGCTGCTCTGTCATCTCCTGCTGCATTTGGTCCTTCCCATGATCCTGTGAGCTTAGTACCATTAGTGTCCTTTTTGTTTTTGTCTTTTTTTTGGGTTTTTTTGTTTGTTTTTTTTGTTTTGTTTTGTTTTTTTTGAGACAGAGTCTCGCTCTGTCGCCCAGGCTGGAGTGCCGTGGCGCAATCTCGGCTCACTGCAAGCTCCGCCTCCCAGGCTCACGCCATTCTCCTGCCTCAGCCTCCCAAGGAGCTGGCTCTATAGGCGTTTCACCGTGTTAGCCAGGATGGTCTCGATCTCCTGACCACGTGATCCGCCCGTCTCGGCCTCCCAAAGTGCTGGGATTACAGGTGTGAGCCACCGCGCCCAGCCTTGTTTTTGTTTTAGAGGCAGAGTCTTGCTCCATTGCCCAGGTTGGAGTGCAGTGGTATGACTTTCTGTCACTGCAGCCTTGATCTCCTGGGCTCCAGCCATCTCCCACCTCAGTCTCCCAACTAGCTGGGATGACAGGCACATGGCCATAATCAGCTTTTTAAAAAAAAATTATTTAGTGGAGATACAGTCTCACTATTTTGCAGGCTGGTCTCAAATTATCCTCCCACCTTAGCCTCACAAAGTGCTGGGATTACAGGCATGAGCCACTGCACCTGGCCCCATTACCGCATTAATGTCCTTTGATGGAAAAGTAAACTGAGGGTCAGAGAAGAAAAGTGACCTCCCTAAGAATAGCAAATAACAGAGATGGTCTGCGTGATTCCAAAACCCTGGTTCATGGTGCTGCATCCCACCACATAAAAGGCATGCAGGCTGAAAGAGATTTCCTTTTTCTGTTGTTTTCTTCACTCCTCAACCTCTACTTCCTAAAACTCCTCTTTTTCCCTTTCCATACACCCACAATGACCTAAAACACTTTTTGCTTACTTTTTTTTTTTTTGCATGCTTTAAGGATTCTTTTTAATATACAGGTATTTCTCTATAACAATTTATAGGCATTTATATATAAGCATATACTATAAAATGATTAATTGAGCATTGTATGTTTTTATCAAAGGAAACAATGCAAAGATTTCTCCAAAGTGCTGTTTGACTAGAGATGATTAATTTTAATTTTCACATGAGTGGCACAATGCTATTAATCATTTAATATGTTTAATCATAATCTCTGTAATTCCTAATTAGGTTCATTAAGCTGAAACATCCAGCAGTTGTACACAAATCCAAATCTATGTTTCCTTCTCAGGATAAGAAGGAGCTCGTTTTATTTTTGCATTGAAACAAACTTCTAACAGGATGGGGAAAAAATGGACTGAAAGCTGGGGGTTTCAGCTATAGCATCTGTAAACTCCGAGTCCGGGTGTAGAGTGCTAAAACCCCTTACAATCTGAAAAGGGACAGTTGCATGATTCAAGCTCATTTCTGTGTCATGGACATGGCACCAAACCTCGTATTCTCAGCGGAGAAAACCCACATTCTGCTCTGTTTGGGTTTCAGTGTTACAACGTTGTTCTTCAACTATCACATGAAGGTAGTGACGTTGATTGTACACTTCTTCATTCATTTGTTTATTCATGTACTTTCGGTCAGTGAGTCAGCCAACCATTAAACAGACATTTATCATTTGTGTCACAAGCTGGTCATACCACCCTCCTGCTGTGATCCTTAGGTGACTCCTTATTGCTCTTAGGATGAAGCTCAGACTCTTGCTTCATACAGTGTCCTTTGATCTACCCCTTGACTATCTTTGAAACCTCAACTCCTGCCTTCCCTTCATACCTGCCTCATCTGACCAGTGGTACTGGAGCTACACGTACTCTCTGAATCCAAGACATCATTTGACATCTCTGCACCTACGCTGCCCTGTCTCGGTATAGCCTCAGTCCTTTTCACCTCTTCTCTTAGATATCTCCCACTTAAAATTTAACCTCCAGAATTGGCAAGCCTTGCTGAACCTCCAGCAGTGTTATATGACCCTGATTTATGGTTGCTCAGCCCTTTGTGATTGCCTCTTATCCCAACATTTACCAGTCTGTATTGGCTGGGGATGGTGGCTCATGCTTATAGTCTTAGTGCTTTGGGAGACTGAGGCAGGAGGATCACTTGAGGCCAGAGGTTCAAGACCAGCCTGGGCAACATAGTGAGACCCTGTCTCTGCAAATAAAAATGAGCTTGGTGTGGTGGCGCATGCCTGTAGTCCTAGCTACTTGGAAGGCTGATGTGGGCAGATTGTTTGAGCCCAGGGTTTCAAGGCTGCAGTGAGCCATGATTGTGCCACGGCACTCCAGCCTGAGTGACAGACCAAGACCCAACTCCAAGAAAACAACAACAAAAAACAATGACAAAATAATTCTATTTATGATTGTCTTTCTCTATTGGTGTCATTCACTAAAGTTGGAATTGCGTGTGACTTGGAGGGCTGATTTATGTGTCTAACACAAAGCAGTTGCTCGGTAAAGATGTGTAAACACTTTAAAAATAAGCAAATGACAACCTTTCCTGTGTGTTTCTCAAAAGGGGTTTATTTCTCTTTGTGGTATTTTAAAAAATTACCATTACTCTAGACAGTTCGTTACTTTCCATTTATTAAATATATATCAGGAACTTGGCCAAGTTAGCATACATTATTCAATCACAAAGCCTTAAAAGGTATGAACTCATTATTCTTTATTTTCCAGTTAAGAAAATGACCGTCGTACTGCTTCATATTCAATCCAACACTATAGGCACAATGACTAAATACATTGTCTAAATACATGACTTTGCATTTAAAACTTGAAGTCAACTGGTAGGGCTTTTGGTACCAGAGCAGCTTGGAAGAATGGTTTGCGAGCCAACGGGAAGTCTTTACTTCAACATGCAATTCAGGGTGTGTTAGGAAGGAAAATGCAAATGAAACCTTCCAGTAAATACCAGGGCTGTTGAGAAAGTTGCTAATTATGCCCGTGTTATCTGAGTGTTTTGTATTTCACTTTGTAAGATTCTTTCCTCTAAGTCGTTATTATTTACACCTGGCTGCCTATATTGATAGTTTGTCCCAATTATGTACTTCTAGATTGCTTATAAAATAGGTGAGGATGATTCCTCACTCATAAGTTTGATAGGCTTCTGCATAAGCTTTCTATCATAGTTTCAAAGTTGGTATCTGATGTGGATGGCATTTACTGCCACCTAGAGGCAACACATGCTAATTGCAGAGAAAGTATCCTATGTTAAATGTTTGAAATGTTAAAACTCTAGAACTGAGAGTATGGCAGTGGCTATAATGATACCTAATGTGACTGACTTTTCCCCTAGTTCCTGCCTATATATGGGTGTCAATGTAACATCATGTTATACAGCCTTATTTGCAAGGCAGGGGTGGTGAAACAATGAGTTATGCTAATAATGTTACAGGGTCTAGGCAAACAGCACAGCAAAACTTTCTGTAGAGATGGAAACATTCTGTATTTGCATTACTCAGCATGGAAGCACTAAGTACATGTGGCTCTTCAGCACTTGAAATGCAGCTAATGCAAACGAAGTTAAATATATCATTTTAATTCAGTTAAATGTATATTGTCACATGTGGTCAACTGTAGTGGACAGCACAAGTTTGTACAATTAGAGCCTCAAAAGAGTAAGTCAATCAGCTGGTTATTTGAACTCCAGAATGCCAACTAGTCTTTTCAAATTTTTTACATTTAATTATATTTTATCTGCACAATTACCTGAACAATTATGTAGGCATATCTTCAGATTCTGAACCGCATCAGTTAAGAAATACACAGTCTCCTGCCTGTAATAATTATTACCCCCTTCTTGATGAGGTTCCCACTCCCCACCTCCCAACCCTAGCAGCTCCCAGTCCCCTTCCTTTGCTTTTTCTAGCCTATAGTGCTTTTCTCTGTCTGCCAACACTCTATTTATGGATTTATTATCTGGAATGATGCTCCCCGAGGGCAGGGATTTTTGTCTGCTTTGCCCACTGCCCAATCCCAGATTCATCATGAGCACTCAGTGGATGCTCAGAAAACACTTGTTGAATGAATGCATGCATGCATGCCTCAGCATTTTCTTCCCTTCTCAGAATCCTTAGTTCTGATCTTTTCCTGCCACTCAGGGCAAGCAAAAGCGCATTGGAACAGAGCATTGTGGTCCACTCAACCTCTTCGATTTCTTCTTGTTCTTTTAGCAGACAGATGATGCAGCACCAACGGATGGCCAGCCCCAGACACAACCTTCTGAAAACACGGAAAACAAGTCTCAGCCCAAGCGGCTGCATGTCTCCAATATCCCCTTCAGGTTCCGGGATCCGGACCTCAGACAAATGTTTGGTGTAAGTACCACCTTTCTTCTCAGCAGTGCCCGCTCTGGGGTTTCCAGAGACCTCCATGTCTCATGTAAGTTTGGGGGTATTTACAATACTAAGGTTAGATGTTTGCACGGGGAGAAACATTTTAGAGTCTAGTTTTTGGGTATATTGTGGCTAGAATCTCTTTATGGTTTTAGCATGTATTTCTGTACATATGCTCACCATGTATCTACTTTGCCAAGTGGTTTTCTTCTAAGAAGTAACTTGAAGGCCAAATGGAAAACATTCCTAAATGACTCACTGCTGAAAGAAGCCTATTGATAGTCCTAAATCCAATGGCCCAGGACATCATACTGTAGCAAAAATACACCCGTAGTCCTCTTGGTTTTGCTTTCTTTTGCAGTTGTCAGATTATCCAGAGGGTGACTCATAGTGTATTCCTGCATTCCCTAGTCTTTCCCAGGCACTGTGCATTTAGATTTCAGATGCAGCAACAGAGAACAACTAATTCTGCATAAAGCTGATTTTAGCAAACAAAGCAAAACCACCACCACCAACACCAAATGAGCTACCAGTTTCTAAGTTCATGTTGATTCCTGAAGTCTACATTTTTCTGAAATTAGTGACAGGGATTCAGAGGCACTTACTGTGGTGCTATATGCCATGAAGGGTAGCCATGCCCAGGCACCATGGTGAAATATAGAGCAGGCCACAAGTCACCGCTAGCCCAGGAGAAAATAATAGCATTGCTTTTTTATAGATCATCTTGCCCCTGATTATTTTTTTCTCAAAGATATCTTCACTATCCACTTTGGGAAGCCATGAGTTTGCCATTTCTTTGACCTCCGTTCAACCAAAAGACAAGGCTATGACGGGGCTTGGATATCTTTCACGTTTCTGAATGTAGCCAATTTGCCCATGACATCCCAGCAACGATAGCAGGTGCCTGTGGATTCAGTGAAAAGAATTACATCCTTAACATTTGACTTAGAGCAAAGGTGGGCTGCTCAGAGACTCCTCTAGGAGTTTATAAATGGATGCAAATATCACAAAAGGAACAAGAAGATGCCCATTCTGAGTCACTCTGGTGTTGTTCTCCGTATAAAATGGAAGGCTCTGGTTCGCTTCTCAAAGGCACTGTGTGTTGGGGATTAGCTTGCACCTTTTACTTCTTACACACACGATGCTTATCAAGTATGCATCTGACACAAAAGCAGAGCAGGCATCCTAATATTTAAGATACCCAGCTTTGAATGCTGACATTTAAGAGGAAAAGGTCAGCTCTTGCACTTTTATCTCTCTCATTTGGTAATAACGTTGAGTTGAGCCCCTCCAACTCCTGCAGAACAGAGATACCCTCGGGCACTTTCAGGTCAAAGATAACTTTGAAAAGTGCAGAGCATTCAAAGTGAGAGTTGAGGTTAAGTGTGTGTGAGGCAGTAAGACCAGGTTTGAATGATGGGCAGTAAGAGGTGTTATATTCTCTTTGCCATGACAGGTTAGGAAGATGTCTTGCTGTGCGGTCTGTTTTTTCTCATCAAGTGTCACTGTGATGTTGGCTTTGAATTCAGTCCCCTTAATAAGCGTCTTGATACTCTTTCATGGTGTTACTCATTGCAGCTCACCCCAAGTTCCACCCTTTAGGGGGCTTTCCCCCCATATTTTTCTTAGTTATCGTGAAAGTTACTGCAGGCTACAATGCTAAGTCACAGAGGTATTCAAAATATTCACAGGAATCAGAGAAGGGATTCTGAGTCTCTCTAGTCTTATAGAGTTAGGGTAGATGGCAAGGAGCAAGATCTTGCCAAAAAATTGTACTACCTGTCATCAAACCTTGATCCAAATCTACTAGTTTCAGGGCACTTGTTTTTGTTTATTTTTATTTATTTTTTGAGACAGAGTCTCACTCTGTTGCCTAGGCTGGAGTACAGTGGCACAATCTCAGCTCACTGCGAGCTCCGTCTCCTGGGTTCTCTCCATTGTCCTGCCTCAGCCTCCCGAGTAGCTGAGATTACAGGTGCCCGCCACCATGCTCGGCTCGTTTAATTGTATTTTTAGTAGAGGTGGGGTTTCACCGTTTTAGCCAGGATGGTCTCGATCTCCTGACCTTGTGATCTACCCACCTCAGCCTCCCAAAGTGCTGGGATTACAGGTGTGAGCCACCGCTCCCAGCCCGGCTCTTGTTTTTAAAAAGACAAGTTCTCACTCTGTTACCCAGGCTAGAGTACAGTGATATGATCATGCTCACTGCAAACTCTTGGGCTCAAGGGATCCTCCCACCTCAACCTCCTAAGTAGCTGAGACTACAGACACAAGCCACCATGCTTGGCTAATTTTTAAGTTTTTTTGTTTTTGTTTTTTTTTTTAATGGAGATGGGGTCTCACTTCGTTGTCCAGGCTGGTCACAAATTCCTGGCCTCAATCAACCCTCCCACCTTGGCCTTCCAACGTGCTGGGATTACAGCGTGAGATGTGAGGCACTGCACATATCCAGTACCCCCCTTTTTTTGAGACAAAGTCTATTTCTGTTGCCCAGACTGGAGTGAAGTGGCATGATCTCGGCTCATTGCAGTCTTTCTCCTGGGTTCAAGCGATTCTCGTTCCTCAGCTTCCTGACTAGCTGGGACTACATGCGTGTGCCACCCTTTATAGTCAAGATTTTCAAGCAACTGACAAGATGTCAATTTGACAAGATGATAGATACACTTAATGCCTATCAATTAAGAGAATGCACCATGCATTCAGTAGCACAAACTTAACCTTGTTCATCACAAGTAGCATCGGTGTCCATTTTTTGAAACTTATTTTTTCTGAAAGATTTTTTGAAAGCTTTATTTTTTCTGTAAATTTTGTCTATAAAAGTACCAGGTACGTACAGATTCACAGACCCCCTTGTAATGACTCTTAAGCCTCCATAGTTTACAACCACCATTCTGAAGAAATGCAGTTTTATACACTAAAAATCTGTTCTTTCCTGCCAAACGGTGGTGGTCACAGAGTCATTCTTGTTATAGGATACATTTAGCGGCAGGAATCACATTGTGAAGCATCTGTAAACATTCTCATTGGTTCCCCACACTGGAGTTTAGGGAATTTAGGAGGGTTTCCTCTTTCAGGTCATAGTTACTGCAAGAAACTACAGTTTAACTCCAATTAGGTACTTCTGACATCATTTGGACATGAGACATCTTCTCTCCTTTTGGCGCTCTGTCCTGTCTTTGTCTTCCCACTTTGACAGGGGTTATAGTGAGGACAATTACAGAGATAAACAGTCACAAAGATCTTTGTGCTTTCCCCTCTCTTTGTCTCTTGTTAAATACAGGCATGGGATTTTAAAGTCAAAAGCAAAACAAGACTAAAAAGCAACCTCCTTCTTCAAACTGCCTAAAACTTGGCAGTGGTCATTACAACGTCTGTAACCATTAATAATTCGACCATGCCATCTGCAACCATTGCATGCCTAATGGTTACTGCAGGTGACTCATTTTATTGTTAATTTGTATCTTCAGCACTTCTTCATGAAGATTGGGATTCTGATTACCTTTTTCATATTCTTTACTTTCTACTCAATGGAAGCATTTGTTCCCATGTTTGGCATTAAATCTTCTAGCTCATCTTATTTTATTTTTTTTCATTTGAGATGGAACATTCCTTGGGGAAGATGTTATATGGCTACAATATACAAAGCAGAAGCCACAGTCTTTAAAAAATACTAGTTGAGGTCCAAGTGAATGGAGCTGTTCTGTGCAGTGGCATTGATATTGAATGGTTCATTGGAAGGGATATTAGTTTTATACGTGGCTTCTTTTTCCTGGAGCTTTGTCTTCATGTTACGTATCATGCATGAACTTGCATTTTCTTTACAGATAAATGTTTGATGATCTCGAGAGGAATATATGGATTTCTAACAAATTAATTTCAATATACGGTGCCCTGAATAGAATGTTTAACTTAATATTTAAAATTTAAACATTCTGGGTTTGAAGTGAGAGAAGTGGATTGTGATATATCCAGACCTCTGCTACAACAGATGGATGGATGTTCTGGATGCCATCACGGAATTGTCAAACAGTTGCTCAGTGACTGCAGTTCTCAAATTTACACAACACCCTTGTTGATTCTGCAGCCTTACTTCAGGGGTCAAAATACAGACCCTCTTGGCTAGGCATGGTGGTGGCTTATACCTGTAATCCCAGGACTTTGGGAGGCCGAGGTGGAAGGATTGCTTGAGTTCGAGAATTTGAGACCAGCCTGGGCAACATAGGGAGGGAGACCCAGTTTCTACAGCAATAAAATCAAAAAACACAGGAAAACAAAATATAGGCCCTCTGGGCAGGAAAATAGTCCACTGAACGTCTCTGTATTGTCATAAAAAACAGATCACATGACTTTCAGCACATGCAAAGGAAGATTTCAAGATCACTTTTTAGTAATGAGACGGACTTGCCTGTACTTAGGATGTTAATGCAAAGTTCCATCTACCATGATGTTATGAGGAGTGAGGCCATTATGGTGGGACAGGGCATGGTACCTTCTACTTCTGCATTCTGAACACGAAGCTGACACTGAGAAAAACTGGGATGATGCCTTTCCTTGGCCTCTATGCACAATCTTTGAACTAACCTTTATGTTTTATGCTGTATCCATTGAACATCCTTCACAGTTTTTCAGAGAAATGTTGTTTGATCTGAGAACATCTAAAAATGCTTGGTACATATTTGCCCAAGTGTGTGCCTATAAACTTCTAGATCTTGTTTTGTTTTTTGACACGGAGTCTCGCTCTGTCGCCCAGGCTGGAGCGCAGTGGCACATTCTCGGTTCACTGCTACCTCCACCTCCCAGGATCAAGTGATTCTTCTGCCTCAGCCTCCCAAGTAGCTGGGATAACAGGCTCCTGCCAGCGTGCCTGGCTAATTTTTACATTTTTAGTAGAGACAGGGTTTCACCATGTTGGCCAGGCTGGTCTCGAACTCCCGACCTCATGTTCTGCCCACCTTAGCCTCCCAAAGTGCTGGGATTACAGGTGTTAGCCACCGTGCCTGGCCTGGATCCTGTTCTTGATACAGCTATTCAGACACCTTGTGTGGATTTGAGGCGTTGTTGAATGCAGCTGAACATTGCTGTTGAGCAAACAAATGCTAGTTATGTCTGCGAATGAGTTGTGTCTATTTAAATTGAAAATGTGCCAGCTGTGTTTACATCATTAGTAGCAAACTTCCCAATTAAACTGTTGATACTATAAATATAGTACACAACTGTCTTGGAAATGGGGCTTACATCAGCATTCTTCTTCGGGCTTGTTTCACTGGCTTTGAGAACCGTCAACCTAACAGCAACTGCCACAGAAGCAAACTTTGAGACCATTTCAGGGCAGCTGATGTCATTGTTTCATTTAGGGAATGACACATGCTAAGACTGCTGTTTGATTGGTTCTGTCTCAATCAGATCTTATTTTAAAGGAAATGTTTTTGGGTTGACTGCCTAGAGAATGTTCCATAGATGACAGTTGCATCGTGGTTTTGGAAGAAGTCCTTGTCAAGCTTCTCTTTCTGTAAATATATGTGCTTCTAGGCTCTTATGCCTGAAATAAATATGATAGCGTCTGTATAGACTGAATATTCTAGGGTGTATCAAAATTACTGCTTGAGGAGTTCACAAAACTGGAGGTTTCTTTACTATGAAATTCAGTTCACATTTGAACGGCAAATCCTTCATTTCCCCCATCTGAAAGTTTTCTTCTATTTCCAGTGATTTTTCTCTGCCTAAAACTAGGGCACTGAAAATGCTCTGTAAAGGAATTCTCTTGACCAAAAGATCTAAGTCCACAAATTGCAGGATGAGTTAGCTGCATGTTTGTTGGCATTTCCATTGTGTGTGAGAGCAATGTGACCCATTTCTGTATTCTCTTCTGAGTATTTTCTCCTTGGTTTCTTCCTATCCTTTGCTTCTCTAAGCAGAAGTACTAGTAGTTCTTTGTTTCACAACTAAAAATATGCACGTCTCTAATTCCCCTGGCTGGATAGTGTATGGATCCTGAGGCATGGGCACATTTCTATGGTACAGAATGACAAACTTTTGGTTACTTTTTTCCATAGTCAGAACTATTTTTATTTCAAGACTGAGCTGTCTGTATTCCAGTGGCATACACACTTGTTTCTACTGTTTCGGGGAGGGTGGATTTCTTTGTACATTCCAGAGGATAGCATCTGTATGTTCTAAATAGTTTGTTTCTTGAATGTAAGTAGGACCCTCTTGACATTCACTCTCTGCGTCTCTGGATACTCTGACTGGAACACATTGGTCAGGCAAACCTCCCCTGCTTCTCGTGTGGTCTGTTTGTTCCTTTTTCATCCTGCCCCACCCCTCACCCCAGTCACTCTGTCCTCTGCTACACGGAAGTACGTGTAATGCTCTCCATTCAGGGGGGAAATGGAATACAGAACCTCTGAGGGTCATAAAGGATGCAATTAAAATCCAGAATGCAGAAGTGAATGGAATGATAGGAAAGCTCAAAACAAAACCAAAAAAAGAGGATGGAAATATTTATGTTGCCCTGTTTAATTTTTAATCACTCAAAGGGCATTTGCTCTCATTCTGCGTGGAGATAAAATTCTCATTTTATTTTTCCCTGGGCCACGGTACATGATTTTACATCACCCTCTCTCTTGCCTGCTCATACGCAGGTTACGCTATTATACTCAAGAAATGCCCACACTACTTCGTGTAATCTCAAAACTGAAAAACTTCCAAGGTTGGAGGAAAGGATTTCGGATGATCTGATGCCCATAGTTCTAGGGCCCATACTCTCCATTTTGAAACGTGAATCAAGAATTGCTTGATGTGCATTTCTCATTGGAAACTCCAGATTTCACCAATTTAAAAAATATGTAAGACGCAGTCATTGAATTTGAAGTTCAAATAAACCACAGATATTAAGTATAAGTATGTCCCAAATATTGCGTGTGACATATCCTGAAAAATCTGAAATTTAAATTTAACCAGGTGTCTGCATTTTATTTGTCTCTATTTATCATCTGAGTCTCTGTTTCTGGACTTTTCATAGAGCCTGGTCATGCTAGTTATCTAAAATCTGTTTAATAATATAGAGAATTATCTTGAGAGAATTTCAGCCCAAGCACTGATTACAACTGCTGATACCATCATGATGATGGTGCCTGGACAGTGGAGTTTGCTTTTGTGTTCATAGTTTCTTTCTCATATGATAGAGCTGCTCCTAGATTTTATGTGAGCTGGGAGCCAAAACCAGTCACATCAAATTCTCACTGGACATTAATTATCAAAATCGCATTTCATCAAGGGTGTTTCTTCCATTGTTTGCTGGGATAGACCAGAAGGGTCATTGTATATACATACTAGCCACTTTTAAATCTTTGCTGCTCAGTGCCTGGGAACACAGACATGCACACAGGAAAAATAAAAGAAAAAGTAAAGTAGAATTCACCTCTTAATATTTTGTACCAAGCCCTGTTGGTGTGTTCCATAATAAGGAGAAAATATGGGTGGTTTTATTTTCTCTTGTTTTAAGCCCATTAGCCATAAAACATAAAATATCCTTGATATTAAGAGAAAAAATTGGCGTCGGAAATAATTACTACTGTACCTAATAATGTCTACTGCATTTCTCTTCTTGCTTATAAGATATTTCTATTTCTTTGCAGCAATTTGGTAAAATCTTAGATGTTGAAATTATTTTTAATGAGCGAGGCTCAAAGGTAAGCAACTTAATTCACTTTAGAATTGTTTAGTTTATTTTTAAATGTTTGTTGTAAGGGGAAACAACTGCACTGTCTTAATCAGCTCATTGTGAAAATACACTTCAGCGGGAGTTCCTTTAGAGACCACCTTCCGTTTTCAAAATGGTGGGAAAGACATCGGGTTCAGTTTAAAATGTATAAGGGGAATAATTTTAAATTGCTGTTTTATATATATATTTTTTTATCAAGTTTCCAGAGGAAAATTATCCATGCTTAAAAAAATAATGATGTTGCTACATTTTTGTTTTTCAGTGATAATTATGTTCTTTATATTAAAAAGTGAGTTGATAGTCTCATGAGCAGGTAAATATGTGATTATTCTGTATTAATAAAGTGCAGTTATTTTCCTGGGTTGTAGGGGAGAAAAATCTCATATACACCAACCTTTTGAATGTAATTTTATTCATTACTATGTTTACCAGTCCACCTTTTGCGATTTGCCATTGCTTTGAGTTTGTTTTTTCGAGGAAACCAATTTTTAAATGGATTCCCAAGCTCTAATCAAAGTCAGAGGCTCTATGGGGAGGTTTGGGATCAGGAGAGGTTCTGTTTCAAAACAGAAATACGGGCTGGGTGCAATGGCTTATGCCTGTAATTCCAGTGCTTTGGGAGGCTGAGGTGGGTAGATCACCTCAGGTCAGGTGCTCAAGACCAGCCTGGGTAACATGGTGAAACCTCATCTCTACTAAAAATACAAAAATTAGCTGGGTGTGGTGGCAGCACCTGCAGTCCCAGCTACTTGGGAGGCTTGCACCCATGAGGTGGTGGTTGCAGTGAGCCGAGATTGCACCACTGCACCCCAACCTGGGTGACAGCGAGACCCTGTCTCAAAAACAAACAAACAAACAAAAGAAATATGTTGGGAGAAGAAAACAACACAAACACTTCTAAAGCCTCCTCTCTCTATCAGTGGTTAACCAAGGGTGGTTCCAGACCATGAACATCAACATCACCTAGGAACTGATTAGAAATGCAAGTTCTCAGGCTCCAGCCCTGACCTGTTGAATTTGAAACTCTCAAGTTAGTGCTCAGCAACCTGTGTTTTAACCACACTTCCAGGTCTGTCCTTAAAATAGACCCATGACAAGCCTTCCCTGTGAGTGTAACAGGCAGTGGTGCTTAATAGTGTTGGGCTTTGGTTGTTGCTGCTGTTCTTCAAGGGTCCTCTTACGACCTGCACCCACAGAGCACTCAGGAACCCCATGAAAATCCCCAATTGAGGAAAACAACACATGAGACCTATCAGCAGACACAAGGGGTTAACAGGGAGAAATCATGGAGAACAAAAAAGATATGGATCTTGGTAACCAGAAAGTGAATGCTTTCAATAGCTCTGCCAGGTCTCCTAGCTGCCACTCCCCAGGCTGTTAGGAATTTTAAGTTCCCTTCTCCTTGCATCCTCAGACTATGAATGCAAATGTTGAGAGATACTGGTTTCAGCCCATTGACTCTCCTTACACTGGCAATTTGGGGCAAGTCAGCATCATGGAGGGTCACTAAGTGGTACTGGCTTTATTTGAAGTGTCACAGGCCACAGTGCCAGTTCTTTTGGGTATATATAACCACCTTTGCCCCCATAAAGCAAACCTTTGAATTTTTTTTTTTTTTTGGACAGTTTTCTTCCCTCCTAAGTTGATTTAGTACTAATTAGCTAGGATGAGGCTGATCGCAACAAGGAAAGAAAACCGCAGTATTTTCTCCTCCACGGCCAAAGTGATGTTGTAATCTGTCAGATGAGTGAAAACAAAAGCAAAACAGAATCCATTACACTTTGTGATTCTGCTCCTTCAGGGACCTTTCGTTTTTCCATAGCTTCAGATTTTTTACAATCATTCTCGAACTTAACTATCTTCCTGCTTCTGGTATGAAGATTATTATGGGGACTATCTCTATAACTGCAAAGCAAAGTGCATTGAGAGAAAAATGTGCCCAGCCTAATCCTGTTCACTCGGGCCTTCTGTATTCTTGGCAAAATTGTAGATGACCTGAATGTTGACCAACTTTGTTCTGACTCTCAGTCTGTCTACAGCAGCACTGCCTTCAAAGATGTGTTTGATTTTTTAATATGTTTAATTTATGTTTTGTTTTGTAACTTTTGCCAGTTGAAGAAAGCTATTTAATTCCTTCTGAGAGCTGTTTTGGGACATTAGAAGAATATCATTTGCTATTTTGAAGGTACAATGGCGATACTATTTTTAAGACATCTTCCGTCATTCCCATGATTAGTCTATCTCTAGGGGCTTCACGAAAAAGACCATTTAAGTTTGCTGCATCCAGATCCTGACTTTGTGAAGCTGTCTTTTTTTGGTCTTTATTCTTTTGGTTTAGGAAACATCTAAAATAGCCTCTCTCAGTGGGTATGCGTCCTCTGAAAGAGCTTGTCTTGCAGGTGTTGGAGCTGACTGTTTAGGTACTGCTGGAATGGCACTGAGACAGTCCAGTTGGAACTGCTAAATGGGGGCAGCAGCTCACAGGGATATTTTTCATACTTGACATCATCCTTTATGGGAAAGAGCCTTATTTAGATGAGCATTTCCATTTTAATGGTTCAGAAACCTGAACCATTGCTATGACCTCATTTTCATCATTTGGTGCTGGACAGTCAGCCAGAAAATGAGTGCACCCTTATGAGCCAGGAACTCACCTTCTTGCCTTTCGTTCTCTAGAGCAGTTTTTCAGGCAGGCCACTCAGTGCTGAAGGCTGTGGGTGCTGGGTGTGTGTGTATATGTATGCGGACATAGAAACCCAATACGTACTTAAGGGGTGGATGCGCATTCCAGCCCTTTAGGAAGCTGAGGTGGGAGTGTTGTCTGAAGCCAGGAGTTCAAGACCAGTCTGGACAACAGTGAGACCCCCACCACCACAAAATAATTAAAAATTAGCTGGGCATGGTGATACACACTTGTAGTGTAAGCTACTGGGGAGGTTGAGGCAGGAGGATTGCTTGATCCCAGGAGGTCAAGGCTTTAGTGAGTTATGACTGCACCACTGCACTCCAGCTTGGGTGACAGAGTAAGACCTTGTCTCAGAACAACCAACCAACCAACAAGATACATGCACAGACAGTAAGCATATTATCTTGGGAATGTATAACTCAAGTACTTAATGTATGGATGAATAGTAAGAATGCAGAAAAACCACAATTTAAAGAGATATCAGACAGAAAATGAGAATTTGTAAGCATTCAGGGGTGAATGATCCTGTAATTTATTTTTCCTTTTTAGGAGATTTGCCCAACCATCTCATTTACCTATGATATGCTCTATTTGGGAGCTACAGACAGATACAGCTACTCTCCCCTAAGTATATACTTAAGAAATCTGGCCAGGTACGGTGGCTCATGCCTATAATCCCAGCACTTTGGGAGGCTGAGGTAGGCAGATCACCTGAGGTCGGGAGTTCAAGACCAGTCTGACTAACATGGAGAAACACTGTCTCAGCTAAAAATACAAAATCAGCCGGGTGTGGTGGCACGTGCTTGTAATCCCAGCTACTCGGGAGGCTGAGGCAGGAGAACTGCTTGAATCCAGGAGACAGAAGTTGCGGTGAGCCAAGATCGAGCCATTGCACTACAGCCTGGGCAAGAAGAGTGAAGTTCTGTCTCAAAGAAAAAACAGAAATCTACACTTTGATCTTTGATTCAGTAGATATCAGTAAGTGTTTGTTGCATTTCATGAGAGCCAACTATGAGTAAGGCAGAAATACTTCCTGTCTTCATGGGCTTTCCTGAGTAGCAGGAGAGACGGACTAGGAAGCTGAGTGACTGCAGTAGCCTGTGTTGTTCTATGGTGATGTGAGCGGCCGCTGAGAGTCTGAACAGGCAGACGGATATTGTGAGAAGGCTTCTGGAAAGAAGCAACATGTAAGCTGAGAGAGAGAGCGATGCATAAGAACTTCCCAGGCTGGGCGTGGTGGCTCAAGCCTGTAATCCCAGCACTTTGGGAGGCCGAGACGGGCGGATCACGAGGTCAGGAGATCGAGACTATCCTGGCTAACACGGTGAAACCCCGTCTCTACTAAAAAAAAAAAAAAAAAATACAAAAAAGTAGCCGGGTGAGGTGGCGGGCGCCTGTAGTCCCAGCTACTCGGGAGGCTGAGGCAGGAGAATGGTGTAAACCTGGGAGGCGGAGCTTGCAGTGAGCTGAGATCCGGCCACTGCACCCCAGCCTGGGCGGCAGAGCAAGACTGTCTCAAAAAAAAAAAAAAAAACTTCCCAGAGAGGGGAAAGAGGGATGTCTTGCATGCAGGAGGAGTTGCATGTGCAAAGGTCACTGGAATAAAAGTGAGATGAGAGGGCTCATAGTCCCATCGGAAATGATTCTTCAGATACTCACATCAACAGCTCCCTTCTTCTAAATATGATTTCCCTGCACCAGAACCTAGAGGACTGGATTTTTTCATCTAAGATGAAAAATCCGTACATTCATCCATCCAGTGTGCTTTATTTAAGCCTTTAAGATATAAAATGGTGTATTTGCATGAATGCAAAAAAGGAAGATATTGCCTAAAAATACACAAGATGAAAAAAGAACAATAACTAGGATACAGGAGGATCAGAATGTATGATTTGTAAAAATATTTTAAAGTAAGCAAGTCACGCCAGTCTGGCAATCCTCTTAAGGCCGCCGTTATCTACCCTACTGATGGTACCTGTTCACAGCAGGGCACAGACCACCGATTTCTTTTCTTTAGTAGCATTAAAGGTAAACACTGGGAAGATGTGTCGTCTGACTCCCCTTCTCTGTACCCCTTTCTTGCAGTCTTGATTTTTTAAGCAGTTACACATCAACATCACACTCAGCCCTATGCCCAGCAAGCCAGGCTCAGAATGTGCTTGTTTTGTTCTCCTTTTTAAGGCAGAGGTAAAAATATTCATCTTTTTAAAAACTGCAAATTGCTGTTTCCTTGAGTTAGAATCCCGACCATGAGGCAGGTCAGAAAAAAACAACCTTAGCACCTGTTCTCAAAAGTTGCCTGACACCTGTACTTCATAGCAAAGGTTCCCTGCTCATGGAGGGGACCAGGTGAGGGCTTTCTCGTTACATTGCAACCCCCAGGTTAGAATTTTGATAACCTGCTAACCCAGGGAGGCCGTGCCACTTCTTTTCTGGATGGGAGGTAGAATTGTCCAATGGAACAGGTAGGAAAGTCTGTTTGGCATTTTGAGGACTGTCTGGAGCAAGTTCTTTCTGCACCCAACTTAGGCAAATCTCAACTCTAAATGAGGAATACCAAGTAGCCGACAAGAGAGAAAGGAGTTTAGCAGAATATAATGAGAATAATCATAAAAAAAGAATTAATATATTCTCTTCGCTTAAAAAGTGAGAATTTGAGAATAGATCAGGCTATTTCCTTTTTAGTACGTGCCCCCTTCCTTGGGATTCAAAATGTATTTCTCTTTCTGCCTTTGTCTCTCCTAAACACATGATGCTGATTTCAGGGCAGTAGGTTTGCCTTGGGTTCAGACATGAAGCATGAGAGCAAGATTCTGGAGGATAATGTTGGACAGGTGGGTGAGTGTTCCGTCTCATCTGGCTATGTTCTTCCCGGTGCTGTGGTAATAATGACTGCTAGTTCCCATCGGCAGAAATGGCACCACCTCGCCCTCCAGCTACACCAGTGGGGCTATGGATTTTCTTGTCTTGCCTAGAGAGAATATAAATCCAAAGCCCTCGTTTCTCTGATTCCTTTTGGAATCTGTGGTATGGCTATGGTTGCTAGGAAGTTAAGCCCATCAGGGAGGAAGAGAACGTCCCCAAGAAGCCTGGGACATGCGGTTTTTAGCTGTACCTCTACATGTAAGCTCCAAGTAACCGAGTCAAAATCTATAGTCAAGAATCTATAGAAATCAGCAATACAAAATTCACTTATTACAAAGAATGAAAACCTGCTCTTTTTGAGACAGGGTCTTACCCAGGCTGGAGTACAGGGGAACAGTCACAGTTCACTGCAGCCCCAACCTCCCGGGCTCAAGCAAGGAACCTTCCCACCTCAGCCTCCCAAGTAGCTGAGACAATAGGGTGTAGGCTGTCACACCGGGCTTGTTTTTTTTTTTTTTTTTTTTTTTTTGGAAGGCAGGGTCTTGCTCTGTCACCCAGGCTGGAGTGCAGGGGTGTGATGACAGCTCACTGCAGCTTCAATCTCCTGGCCTCAGGCTGGGATCACAGGGGCACACCATTACACCCAGCTGATTTTTTCTTTCTTTTTTTTCTTCTTTTTTTGTAGAGATGGGGTTTTGCCATGTTACTCAGCCCAGTCTCAAACTCCTGGGCTCAAGTGATCCTCCTGCCTTGGCCTCCCAAAGTGCTTGGATTACAGGTGTGAGCCACCATGCCTGGCCCAAAACCTTTTGATGGTTTTGATCACACAGTGAAATGAGAGGTCATGGAAATCAAATTGCTGAGCCACTCATTTTAAGCAAACACATTTCTGGACTCCACTCTGGGATTCTAATCCAGTAGATCCAAAGCAAGGCTCAGGAATCTCAATGTTTAATGTGCTGCCAAGTTCCTTCTGATGTGCGGCTATGTTTGATAGCTACTGGCCAAGAGTTAGAACTGTCAAATTGAGCAAAATCACCCTCTATTCTGTCTTTTTTCCCTTTGAAGAACAATCATTTCCAAACTATACAGTTAGCAAGTGTATTCATGTACCCAATATGGGCATACTGCATGTAGAAGACTAAGCAAGACCCCTTCTGTTATGGAGCAAGTAATCTTAAATGAATCAGATAATTCAGGCTTATCCTAATCACAGAGCCTCACCATGGGAAAGATTATGGAAGGTAATTTGGTTCAATCCCCTAAAGAAATGTTATTTTTCTCAATGCAGTTCACCCTTGAACACGGGTTTGAACTATGCAGGTTCACTTACACGTGAATTTTTTTCTCCAACCAAAGGCAGTATTCCCAGGATGTGTGACCCGTATATACAGAGGGCGAATTTTGTTCTATACTCACATTCCACGATATACAGAGGACTGATTTTCTTCTATACTCACGTTCCACGGAGTGACTGTGGGACTTGAGAATCTGGGGCAAGGGTGTCTTGGAACTAATCTGTAGTGGATACTGAGGTACAGCTATCTATAGAATCCTGACAAATAATCATCTACCCTCACTGGAATACATCCACATCCCCTGTCCTCTGCGGCCGATGAGCCTATTCTGACTGTTGAAAAGTTCCGTTAGCCAGCCCATTGGACAACACCTTTTTGTTTTATTATACTTTAAGTTCCAGGGTACATGTGCACAACGTGCAGGTTACATAGGTATACATGTGCCATGTTGGTTTGCTGCATGCATCAACTAGTCATTTACATTAGGCATTTCTCCTAATGCTCTCCCTCCCCCAGCCCCCCACCCCCTGACAGGCCCTGGTGTGTGATGTTCCCCACCCTGTGTCCAATACCTCTTTAGCCTTAAATTTGGAGGTCATTATAGAGATCTAATGTAGGATTGGAAGTTATCACCAGTTGGTTGTAACTACCATGTATTTGTAATTATTGTACATTTCTTTAGTAAAACTGGGTATTACACTGTCCCAACTAAGCTTGGAGCCAACATGGATTATTTGATGCTAAAAGGAGCCCCAACGTATTGCTTGATTTCACCCAGTTTACAGTGAACAATCAGAAAGAGCTGGGGATATTTATGTGGAAATTGTTCAAAAGGTTGGTGTATATTTCTGAACAAGATGTACAAATGTTTTTAGGGGCTTTAAAAATAATGTGTCATATTTTCTGTACTTAGGAACAATGTCAGTGAAGACAAAATATGGATTTTGACAATATTATTTAGCGGGGTTGATTTTTGAGGTTGAAATATTAAAAGCCTATGTACTTGTGGTAAATTAAACGGTATATATGTTATCTATCAGTAAAAGAGGAAGTGGCCAGAATATTATTACAAATTACATTCTATTAACAAAGTTTCTTTGCTACCCGTTGATATGAAAAGTAAATATTGACCTAATGCCAGAACTTTACAATATGGGCACACCTTTCCCTTTCTGGTTAATAAAGTAGGATGGAAGGTTGTCAGATTCAAAAGCAAGTATGCAATTTGAAGAGTGGGGAAAGTATGATCACAAATATTGAATTGTTTGTATTAATCAACTGAAGTTAATTTCTATTCATTTCATGTGACTTTTTTGTTTACGAGACCAAAGAGTTTAAGATTTGTTATTAAAAAAGGTCTTTCCTTTTTTAGGCTTTTAACTTTTATTTTTGAGAAGTAAAGGCTGTAGAATTGACAAATTTGAATAACCCTAAAACTGCATGAAGAAGAGATGTTCTTAAAACCACACGGCATGACTCTGTAGGCAATGTTAGAGGATTTTGGCATTCATTGTTGAATTTCGTGCACACGTTTTATTTTATTTTATTTTTAATTTGCATGTCAAAAAAGTGGTTCCCTTTTCTTTTCCTCGTTATTTCATTTTATTCTCTGTGAAGACACTGTAAATTTATTTTGATCTCATTTTCTTTTCGTTAGATTTATTTTCTTCTGTAGTGACATTTAGAAAGGTATTTTTGGTATCCTTCTTTGAATACTTCAGGGGTTACAGCTAACTGGTGACAGAAAAAAATATCTTGTTCACATTTGTCGCTTAATTATTGCACATCTCAGTACTCTTATAATTTCTCTAATTTGCATGTTACAGAACTGAAGCCAGGACAAGAAATAGAAATTAAAGCGAGAGAACATTACCAAGTGGTCGTTGACTGAAATAATAATCTGCATGTTGTTTTCCCTTCTCCCTCCTGCATGCAGGGATTTGGTTTCGTAACTTTCGAAAATAGTGCCGATGCGGACAGGGCGAGGGAGAAATTACACGGCACCGTGGTAGAGGGCCGTAAAATCGAGGTGCATGTTCAAAATATTTTCCTTTTCATCTTTTTTATAAATGTCTGCTTCACGCTCATTCGTTGTTCCAGATGCATCATTGGCGTCTTGTATGTGACCCTATTCCCCCTCATTGTTTATATATATATATATATATATTTTTATATTTAAAAAGGAAAACTGGCCTTACTTTTTTTTTAATTTTACTTTATTATGTTACTCTTATTACCACTGAAAGGTGGATGGCAAACGTGAGACAAAAGAAAGGTTAATCGGAAAGGGTTTTTTGTTGTTGTTATTTTCTATGTTTTATAATTAATGGGTGCAATAGGTTCCAAAGAATAGACAGTGTTGCAAACCAAATAAAATACAGAACAGTTTATTTTTCTTTTTCTTTCCACTTCAGGGTTGAAGAGGGGTCCACAGTGGTTTGCAAATTAAACCAAATTGGGAAAGCAAAAAAGATTGTATTTTTTGTTTTGTTTTGTTTTGTTTTTTGGAAAAAAAAAAATCAGAGGTTTTTACTAAACCTCTGATTTTTTTTTTTAAGAAGCCAGTTTGAATTTCTGTATTCTTTTGATAACAAAGTGAATAACCAAACAGGATTTCCTGTTCAGTATCTGGCCCCTGTTCACTGAAAGCATAAATACCAAAATACTGACACTCAGAGTCTGCTATTTGTGCCACTGGGATCTCCCGCAACATAGCCACAGGGTCATATTTGTTAAATTTTTTTTTAAATACCAGTTACAAATGCTTTAGTCTTTGGAGTAAGATGTTGCATATTTTGCCTTTCATTTTCCCCTTCGACGATAACGCTTAGGCCCCTCACCAAACTCTCAGTAACCATGGTAACTGTATACAAACCCATGCTGGCGATGGTGGTGAATGGTAAGTGGTGAAGTCCATCTGCCGTTTCACGTATTTAGTGCTGATATATCTATATACATATATATACCACGTGAATTTTTTTGACTTGTCGTATTAAGTTTTCTTGATGCTCTATTTTTTTGGATATTGGTACGCCTGTAATTGAGTGTACGTTCTAAGCTAGCCTGGGAGGCACTGACTGGATTGAGTTATGACCGGTGCACATCTTACTCAGATTGTTAACTCCATATTGTGTTAAACAATGCACCCTCTCTTTTATCCTTTTGTTAGCTGTGACTTTAAAGCTTGAATGATTTTGTTAATTCTTGCGATGTAAAAGGCTCTTGTTCCAAGTGTTGAATGCTAGATGTTGCTTTCCTGATGGTTCTTTCCTCTTAAAGTGTTGCACACGGCTAAGACTTGTTTGTCCCTTTTTTTGACATTTATGTTCCCTTGTACCTTGTCTATTCTCTCTTCTCCACTGCATGCTCCTTCATATAAATTTTATTTTATGTTAAAAAAATATTGTTTGTGTTACCATGGAGTACACGCATGCTTTTAAATCTTCAATTATGCAGTATCTTTTAATTTGCTTTTACTGTCTCTTTATTAAACTCTTAATGATATGACATTGCTTTATTGAAATGATTTGTAAGTTAAATGGTTATGAAGTACATGTAATTTTAAAAATGTATGATTTTGTTATGCACCTACTGCCTTTTATAAATTAAAATGCATTTTAGTTTTCAGTTTTCTTTTTTTAATAAGTAATCACGGTCATAATGCATGCAACTAATTGAATTGGGAGCTGGCCCTAGAATATGTGCTTATTTGAGTTTTCTATGTACATAGGTAAATAATGCCACAGCACGTGTAATGACAAATAAAAAGACCGTCAACCCTTATACAAATGGTAAGTAGAGATTGGCCTTTTATAAGAAATTCTCTCTAACTGTTCAAGTAATTTAACCAGAGATTCCATTACAACAAGCTGTGTTTGCTGGGCATTGACACTGTTTTTACTACTGACCTGCTGCTACAGTGAACCACCTACATCAATAAGATTATTTTCACAACAAAGGCAAATGAAGTATTCAGGTTAAGTGTGTATGCCCTTTTTCCCTTCTTTCTAGAATAACTCTTGTTTGGGATTGAGATACAGCAATTATTTGGAAATTAGTTTGAGAATTTAATTGGTTATTACAGTAAGTTGAGGGGAGAATTGGAGGTTTAGTTTGTTTGCTTTTCAACACCATCTCCTCGTTGATTAGTAATCATTCCTGGAGGTGCAATCACATAATTTATTCTGTCTTTGAGTCTTCTCCAGAAAGATTAGGCATTTGAAGTGGTTTGGAGGATACCTCATGTCTGAATTCCACAGGGTTATCAGAACGTGTGAGTGAGTTATTTGTTCCTCTCTGGGCTGCTCAGTGTTATTTTGGGCTAGTTGAGAATGTTGCTGTGTATTGCAGATCCCATCAGGACAATGCAATTTCTGTTCCTATCAATAAAACTTCTGAAAACTCCTAAAAAGCATTCACATATGAGTCATTAAAAAATGTTCAAACATTTTGATTCCTTAATTCTTCTCAAAATAAGTGTCTCTTAAGATATATGGGGGAGAAACCTGCCACTATGTTAATCACATACTTAATTGTACCAAAAATTAAAGCAATTAAGTTGAAGTATAGACACAGGGTAGAATATTATGCCCATTAAAATGAGCAGGATACAGACCATAAAGGGTCTCATAATTAAAAAATTAAAATAAATGTTTATAGCATAACTTTAGATAAATGATAACATGCCAAAATGCTAATTGTTGTGTTAAATTGTGAGACTGACATTTTTTCTTTGATTGTTTATGAAAATAATGTAACTTTATTACATCAAAAGGAGATATATGGAATTTTATACTTCTAAGGTTTTAATTGGACAAGGAGATAGACTTTTTAAAAGTAAAAAAAAAAAATTAAAAGCAACATTAAAGACAAGTCAAATATATTTTAAACAACTCCATTGCCACCCTGGTTTCCTACCCCCCCATCACAGGAAGCCACAATTACAGATTGCTGTCTAGTTTTATTTTGCGTATTCGTGCCTATGCACATAATAGGTGTTCATTTGTAGTATTCACAGTATTGTATATTTTTATGTGAATAATATCATGATACAGCTGATAATTGGGTTTTTATAAATCTATATAGAGTTCTTTCAATATATACAGATTAGACTAATTCATTTCAGTGGTTACATAATATTACACAAAACAGATAAATGGGTTCAATAAGAACTAAATACTGATTGTTAGATCATTGTTTTGTTTTATTGTGATTAGCAATGTATTGTCACTTGGTAGTTTTGTTTTTCCTGTTTCTTTGCCAGTGACTACCAATTTGACAGTCAGTTTGCTCTTAATTTTAAAAGGGGCATCATTAAACAGGGATATACCATCTATGTAATAGGGCTCTAAGTTGAAAGACCAGAAGAATTGCTTATTCTGCTGACCATTTTTCTCAGCTTTAGCAACCAAGACATGCCCTTAAATGGTATAGACTATCTTCACACCAGACTTTGATTTGTGTGCCATACAGCCTTTCTACTTGGGTAAAAGCAGTGACTCTGAAGCTTGCTAGATTTAAAACATGGTGACATCAACGTGACGGTTGGGCATAGTCTTTAATTAAGAAGTTGCACAGTTGCCCAGGCACATGCGAGCCTGTATATGACTAGCTGCTCACGTGTGCCGAGTGAGAAACTAGAGCAAGAAAAGCCAAATATTATTCCATAAGCCATGTGCATGTATATTTATTTTAAAAGAGTTATTGATCAATTTTATGCCCAGGGACTGAAAACTAGTCCTGTAGGATTTTTTAAACACAATTCAAAGCCCGTTTATAAATAAGTAGCCTTTCTGGAATATGAGGTATGCATTATGTGAGGCATTTTAAGTGCACTAGACACAAATGAAGTCCTGTAAAGAGGACATGATTATCCCTACTTTAGAGATGCAACATTGAGGCTAGAGAAGATGAAGTAATAAAGCAATTTTTTTTTCTTTTTTGAGACAGGGTCTCACTTTTTCACCCAGGCTGGAGGGCAGTGGCACAATCTTGGCTCACTGCAACCTCTGCCTCCCAGGCTCAAGCAATCCTCCCTGGTAGCTGGGATTACAGCCACGTGCCACAATGCCCAGCTAGTTTTTTACTTTTTGTAGAGATGAAGTTTCACCATGTTGCCCAGGCTAGTCTCGAACTCCTGAGCTCAAGCAATCTGCCTGTCTCGGCCTCCAATAATGCTAGGATTATAGGCATGAGCCACCACTTCTGGCCTAGCATTTTCTTTTTATTATGAAGTAACAGAATCTTGTGACCCTGCCTGCGTGTGTGTATCAGGCATCACTTTCCCTTTGTCTTCTTGTAGAAATGCACTCAAGTGGCAACCCACTACAATAGTAAAAATATTGCTAAATGTGCAACCTCGTGTTCCTGCCAGATGTTGCCTTGCACATCCCATGTCCCATTCCAGGTAGCCATGCACTCAGTTTCCAGGATTAAGTCAGTCATACAGGTCTCTCATCCATGTACCTGCAAAAGGGAACTCAGAATTGTTCCTGTCACACATACTGAGTATGGCACCTAAGGAGTTGATGGATAGACACAGTAGAATTTATTTAAAACAAATGTCAATTCTAATTATATAAAGACTGTGGCTTCTGTAGTGGAGATTATGGAGAACTTTGGTATTCAAAGAAAAGTAGTCCCAAGTTTCAACTCATGAGTATCTCCACTACAAATAAATTCCCTTAAGTGGCAATACAATATTACTGATAAAATATAGGGCCCTCCCAAATCCTTAATAGGCAGGAGGATAGCTATGGCAAAAGAGGGTAAGTCAAGACCAATAAAGTCACATTGAAATGAGAAAATTAAGCCATTGGTGAGGTTCACTCATTAGCTTCATATTTCATTCTTGCAAAGCATAGAAACTGTACTTCAGCAAAATTATAAATTACTAGAGCTATCAAAGTTTCAGGTCATCTCCAGGTGATGAAATATAGTTATCGATGCCAGCATCACATTCATCCATTACCTCAATCACATATCCAGAAAAAGTTTTAGCAGCTGCAAAGTTTCCAGTGATAAAAAAGACTGAATTCTAAATGTGATGGGATACCTGTCAGAGAGGTGTATGGTTCGTAACATAGAGGGGGTGGATACTATTCTCAGGATATTTAAACAATGACATAAGGAAAAGCTGTAGAATGAGCTGTAGGCTTCTGGATGTTCTATTGAAAGGTTCCCCAAAGAGGGAATTGAACTATTTCTCTATTGCTATTTCTCCTAAGGACACCTACCCACGTGGAGGAGTTGGGGTTTGCTGTATTCTTTGGGGATCAGATGTTCGATCTGCGTTACAAGATCGAGAGCTGAATTCACAAGGATTTCCTGGATACTGGGGAAGCATGGGTGCTAGACATGGCTTTTTCATTTTCTTAGAGATGTTAGGAAGGATGAAAATGGGGCAAACATATCCAAGACTCTGGAGAGAGGTAGACTTCGTTGCCAGTATCAGTTCTGCCATTCACTGGCTGTTGAATCGTAGGCAAGTTGTTTAAACTCTCCATGTGCCAGCTCTCTAGTGGGAACCAAACAAATGATGGGAACTACATCATAGTTCTTTGTGATAATTACGAGAGATCAAGTACTCAACACAATGCTAGGCATGCAAAGCGCCCTAAAAGATTTTTTTTACTACTATTTATAGCCCAGTAGTATTTGATTACACAGTCTCAATATTAAATCATATTATTCCTTTATTGTCATGGACAGTTGAATTCCCTGATAGATACTAGTTTAAGAATCAATTCTTCAGATGCTAAAAGGGGCTGAACAGGTAAAAGAGAGAGTCTTTGAAAAACTCAGTCTTTTGGGACTGGCTATTGTTTCCTTACTGAAATAAAGCAAAATATTTATCTACAAGGAAAAATCAACAGCACTACCACCACAAAGTAACAATAAAAGATCTCAAACATTTGATCTCCCCCCATCAGGCTCACGATGGGGAGCAGTGGCACATGTGACTAAGTGGGGAGTTAAATGCAGTAGCCCCTGGCCACCTCTAATAAGTCTGTCTATGAGGGATTCTCAGCTTAAAGTTACCATTTGTACCAATGTTTCAAGAGAAATAGAAATCCCGTATTTTAGATGGAATTTAAATGTTGGCAATAAATACACGCCATTAAAGAATACTGAGTGAACCCAAACAAAACACGTTTGTACCCAACGCACACCTCGCTTCTTTTTGTTTGGTATTTTAGAGTTGTCTCCTGTACCGTGTCAGCTGCCAGGTCTCTGGCATCCTTAGTATATATCTTAAGGAAGCATTGACAGGCAGTTTTTGTAACTCCTATAGTGTACATAAGGATGCTCTCTGGAATGCGTTCCTTTGATATGTAACCCAGCAAAGCCTTAGAGAAAGCCTGTGCTGATGTTTTTTTGGTGCACATTCAGACTTGGTCTTTTAACACCCAATGCAGTCATAGGTAACATAGTTAATATAGGTCGTAGCCAGCATCTTTTAGAAATGCTGACACTTGACCTGTGACAAGCTAAATTTGGGGAGGGGAGTGCCAATTCGGATATAGCCCCTTGAGTCCCGGCCACAGAGGGGTCTAAAGTGCTTGTGTGTCTGATAGAGCCAGACCCCAAGACGTCTGGTCTCTGCTCCATTGCCTTGTTGCAGGGCTGGAGGGGCCCTGGGAGGCTGGGACCAGTGGGCCTTATCCGCTGTTCTCCTTTTGTTGTAAGCCTCATTGTTCAGTTTAATGTCCTTGATCAAAATCTCTGAATTTGCAAGGCCTGGGGACATACACAAACTGCCTAAGAAATTAAAAATGGGATCATTTTGTTCATCTTCCTGACAGTGCAAGCTCTTATCTCCAGCAGGGTTATCCCAAGGGTCTCTTTCAGGTACGAGAAGGAGTCACAGGGAATGTGGGACTATTTGCATGTGATTTGCATGCATTTACATAAGCCCACATGAGCTCTGAGTGGAGGTGATTTTCAAGGGCTGGATTCTAGACCAAATGGACATAACAGACATTTACAGAATACCTTATCCAGCAGCTGCAGAGTACATCTTCTCATCAACACATGGAACATTTCCAGGGTAAGCCACATGTCAGGCCAAACAAGTCTCAATAAATTAAAAAAAAATTTAAACTGTATCAAGTATTTTCTTAGACCATAATAGAATAAAACTAGAAATCAATAGCAAGAGGAACTTTGGAAACTGTACAAATACTTGGAAATTCAACAGTGTGCTCCTGAATGTCCACTGGGTCAGTGAAGGAATTTTAAAATTTTCTGATATAAATTAAAATGGAAACATGACACGCCAAAGTCTATGGGATACAGCAAAAGCAGTGCTAATCAAAAAGTGTATAGCAATAAATGCGTACATCAAAAAAGTAATTCAACTAAGCAACCGGGACAACAGTCATCCCTAACAGGCTTCTTTATTTAATATATAGCCCTATGTGAAGCAGGTCCTTGAAGATTGGAAGGAGACATAATCAGAGCCAAAAAAAAAATTAGTCTCTTAGGAAAAAACTCTATATTCCTTTATTTACAGAAAAACCAAGTAAATACTTATGGAATGCTTATTTTGCCAAACAATGTTTTAGGTGCTGGAGATTCATGTTGGATAGCAGTCTTGCCTGCTTGACTTAATTTTGATGAGGGAGAATGGTTATAAAAGACGATTAAGAGCAAGCAAAGAAAGAAGTTAAATCCAGATAGCATTAACGGCAATGCAGAAAATAAAACTGGGAATGGAATCATGGAATCCAAGAGTAACTCTAAGAGGAGGTAGGAAAGTGACATTAACTGGCATGTTCTGAAAAGACTCCAGAGCCCTAAATAACATCAAGTCGACTTTGTGAAGAACTGGAGAGTTCTCCAAGGATAAGGAGAAGTGGATACAAAGAGACTTTGATATACGGTGATCTTGGGGGGTTTTATAAAGATGAAAATGGCCAGTATCACTGTAGCTGGGAAAGAAGGGGACAGGGAAACAAAGGGAAATGGTACCAAAGTGGTACCAAATAGTTTGGTTAATAGTCAGTGTGTGCTTTTTGACAAAGGTAGGACATGTGTGCTGATCTTAAGTTGGGAAGGAGCTATTGAATTCCGAGTAGCAGGATGACAAAGCTGATGTTCTTTTTAAAAATTGCTTTGGTCACTATGACCAGAATGGACATGGGGGAAGGAGGAGGAAGAAGAGATGGTGAGAATTGGGGCATTTCTGCTGTTGGACCTCTCCAAGCAGAGATGGGAATGCCTTGGTCTGTAGTGGTGGCAATGGAGAAGGAGGGAAGAACTTTTCAAGTTTTAACCAACAGAATTTTCTAATGGATTGCACATGGGGTATGAGGGTAAGAGAGGAATCAAGGAAGTATTGATGAAGAATTTTATTTTGAGCAACCAAGTAGATGGAGATGCCATTTGCTGAAGGGAGAAAGACTTGCTGAGTAACAGGTTTCATGAGTAGAGGGAGAAGAGGGAGACTAGAAGTTGGGTTTTCACGTGCATTGTCGAGTTCAGAAAGGACTTTGGTTTCCTACAGTGGGAGTGGGGTAGCCTCGTTTAGAAGGGATCAAGGATGGGAAGAAGGTTGACATCTGCACTCATGTTCCCATAATGACCGGAGCATTTCATTTTGTGGCACACAGATTCCCAGTTGTTTTCTTGTAGAGGAGACTTTATCAATTACATTTCTCACAATTGATAGTTGCAAACATGAGATAGCACAGATCTCCTGATGAGGGAGAATATGAGAATATCATTTATTTTCTATTTTTTTTTTATGAAGAGATTGCCATGGGTAGACTTCACAAACTCATAACTTGCAGAAAGACAGGGAAACAAACAGCAGATTATAGGTGGATAGATAGATTATAGGTATGTTTATAGATAGAAAGTTCAGTAGATAGATGGATACGTAGGTAGGCAGATGAGATAAACATGATTTCTAGGCAGCCTCAAATGCCTCTGAGAGATCTGTAGTTTTTTTGTTTTATTTTTAGAAAAATGAGGCCACTGGCAAATTTACAATCTTTTAAGAGCTACACCAAAATTCATTGATAAGTATACCTTCAAGGAAAAGGAAAAGCAAGTCTTATATGCAGAAGAAAGTATTTAAGGTAGTAAGGATATTCAAAAAACAAAACCTGAGATGAACAGTATGGAAAAGACACCATCTCCACTACCAATAAGAGGGAGGAGCATCAGTAGGGTATGAGATGGAGAACAGTAGAAAGATGAAGAGTGAGCACTTAATAATTATTCATGACCCCATATAGATTGAGTTCACAAATTCTAGGTTTCTGTGAATGTCTGCAGCTTTATTTTCTACTAGTTTTTTTAAGACTCCAAGTTGAAATGTAGACATTAATTTCCATATCCTCAGGAATTGGACTTTTTTAAGAAAAAAGGAAGCAGTGGAATTTCAGTTGGTCAAATTGAAGTCATTTCCATACTCATAAAACACATTCTGAAATGTCTGAACTAATATTTATTTTTCCATCACTATAGAAATTCTTATAAGGCAAGATGTGATTAATACAAGAGAGGAGGGTGTCAGTATGGAATTTCAGAAACCGGTAGGGCAGTAGGTCTCAGAATTTCATGTTTCTTTCTGTCACTCCAAAAATGGGGCCTAGGAATTAAATATGCCTCCCAGGTAACTGAAGTGTTAACACTTTGAGAAACTATTCTAAGATCAACCCAGGGGCTGTAAACCACCTAGCTTCTTCAAGTTGGAATTGAAAGTTCTTAGAAAACATTCTTATCAAGTTTTAGAAAGTTCTGGATTTCAACAGACATACTGGCCTGTTGAGTTAGTGAGCCTCCGTTTTCCTTAGTGGATATTAGGAACATCTCTGGTCTATTCTTAGGTGGGGCAGAAAATCACACCTCTCTCTTCTCTGCAGACCACAGGGAGTTCTTACTGTCAAAAATACCTTCCTTCACTTTCAAACTTTTATCATTGCCTTTTCTCAGAAACATTTATTAAAGGATCTTTGGTATTTCATCCTCTGCTCAAGGACTCAGAGCAAAAGGAGTACACACCTTACCCTCCTCTGTCTTTCAAGGTTTTTTTTTTCCTTTTTGAGACAGAGTCTCGCCCTGTCACCTAGGCTGGAGTGCAGTGGCACCATCTCAGCTCACTGCAACCTCTGACTCCCGGGTTCAAGCAATTCTCCTGCCTCAGCCTGATTAGTTGGTACTACTTTGTATTTTTAGTAGAGTCAAGGTTTCGCCATGTTGGCCAGGCTGGTCTCTGGAAACTCCTAGCCTCAAGTGATCTGCCTGCCTTGGCTTCTCAAAGTGGTAAGATTACAGGCATGAGCCACCGTGTCTGGCCTGCATGGAGTTTTTTTCTTTCTTTCTTTCTTTTGAGAAAGAGTCTTGCACTGTCACCTGGGCTGGAGTGCAATGGCATGATCTCAGATTACTGCAACCTCTGCCTCCCAGGTTCAAGCGATTCTCCTGCCTCTGCCTCCCAAGTAATTGGGATTACAGGTGCCCACCACCATGCCTGGCTAATTTTTTGTATTTTTAGTAGAGATGGGATTTCACTATGTTGGCCAGGCTGGTCTCAAACTCCTGACCTCGTGATCTGCCTGTTTCAGTCTCCCAAAGTGCTGGGATTACAGGCGTGAGCCACCGCACCCAGCTCCCGCATGCATGCTTTTATAAAGGCTTAACCAGTAGGAGCAGGAAACAATCACAAAACCCTAAAATGTTATCGTTCTCTGGAAATTGTTCCTTAAATAATGCCCAGCATATATGTAAAGTGCTTTCCAATTTGTGAAAATTCTTGTATGCTCTTTTTTTTGAGTAAAGATTTCTAAAGGGCCAGGATTCATTTTACAAAAACCTCTCCATCCAGAACATTTGGAAAATTACAGATTCCATTCATCATATATACAGGTTATCTGAAAGTTACCTTAGATATCATGCATTGATTAAAAATTTTTTACGGCTCCTGAATGCATTAAAAGGTATTCCACAGTAAATCTCTAGGGGATAAAATATCATTTTCTTTGGTCTTCACGAAGCACTTTGGAATTCTCTAGTATCTTGAGGTTATAATTAGGAATGACAATTGTTAGAATATACTGCTGCCAAGAATTTTGTTTATGCAAGCTTTCTAATTTCTGTGAACTTAATGCAGAAGGATGTGATGGATTATCTAGCAGTGATATATGAAGACAAAAAATTGAAATTATTATAGTAGTTCTAAAAAATATTGATAGAGTAGAAAATTAATTACCATGTCATTTTCAAAGGATTCACTTGTGACTGGTCGGTAGTTTCCATTCCATTAACTTGCACTGGCAGAAAATCAAAGGAGGGCATGAATCTATTTTCTTATGTATGATTTTTAAATATTTTTATGCTTGCCCAAACAACACCTCCTGTACATTTTAAAATACAAAATAAGATGATTTAACCCATTTGCTTTGTGATTCATTTGCAATTATATAAGATGTTGAATCAAATGTGATAATAATGTTTTTATGTATTTGTTTTAAGGCTGGAAATTGAATCCAGTTGTGGGTGCGGTCTACAGTCCGGAATTCTATGCAGGTAAAGAGTTTCTCTTTGCACGAAGTCTTCTCGGTCTTTTCTAAATGTGCTTTGCCTGCCAAGAATGAATGGGTTTTGTAAAATAACCTGAAGCAAGTGAATTCCTATCTTAACAAGTTCTGAATGATTTCTTTGGGCAAAATCAAGAGTGCTTTAAACAGTTTAAAAATTACAAGGGAATCGTGTACGTTTCGTGGTTGGGGGGGGTCAGCATGGAGCCACTGTTCCTTAGGACAATTCTCATTGATTTTGCCCTAAAAAAGCATTGTGAGTTTGTTCAATAGTGTATTGAACAAATGGAGAGCTGCTCACGCCCACTGTATTTCAATGTGCCTGAATGTGTGTTGTAGCCATACATTTCCATTTGGGGTTGGCATTTTCTTTTTCCTGGCAAAGCAGAGAGCTGAGTTGGCTTCATTATTCCAATAATGCAGGAGTGATTTGGAATTGCCAAGGGAAGGCCTATTTCGATAACTAAAAAAAAATAAGTTGTCTGTATTTGTTCATTAATCAATTTCCCTTAGCAATTCCTTCTCTCTCTACTTTGCCTTCCAGAATATGTTTCTCTCCTCACCCCTTCCCTGCCTAAGCACCAATTCCATTCTCTTAGAAATTTGGGGAGAGCGTAACCCAGAAGCAGTAGCGACTGAGATGTCATGTCTTGATGTCCTAGGCGTGGCCCGTCACTACTGCCTGTATGTCTCCTTGCTCCTGAACAAGGCTGTATTGAATACTTAGGACCTTAGAAGTAGATTTGCCACATGGATATTTAAAAGAAGTCTTTGATGTGGCTTTTGCTTTTTAATAAGGAGAAATAAATAATCCATTGATCTAGAACCACACCCTTAGTAACCTCTTGACGGTAAGTCATACCCCTTGCTTTGTTTTTTCCTGGGCTGCCTAACTTTTGTCATTTTCCTGATACTAAACACTGACCCTTGTAGATGACAAGGGAACATAGAAAACTTAGCTACTTTGGCACAACAACCAGTCTGACAAAATTTAAGTTAAAAAATGTGGTAAATCTGGAAAGGCTCAACAGGATAACCGATTCCTGGATTTTACGTAGGCGATGTTTGGAGTTCTTCTTCATGTGTGAGTTTTACCAGGAGCCTGGATTAAGTCCAGAGATTCTAACGCTGCAAAATAGCTGTGTTCAGTCTTATGGGGGGAACAGACTTAGCCGTCAGGCTTTCCATGATCATATTGTGAACCCCACCCTCCTGAGAAGATACCTCTGCTGAGTGAGGAACATGGACACCATGCCTACACAGCTCAGGTTCAAATTCTGCTTCCCCTACTCACTAGCAGTGTGACCCTGGGCAAGTTACTTTACCTCTCTGTGCCTCAGTTTCCTCATCTGTTAAATGGAGATGATAGTAACAAAGTGATTGGTGTTTATTAGAATTAAATGTGTTAATATACAAAGAGTGGTGTGTAGCCAGCCCCTGTAAACGTTTAGTAAATAAAAATGAATATGTTAATCGCTTTGCCAGGAAGGGAAAGTTGGCCGCGTATTCCGCTAAATTCTAAGTATACTATGAGATGAAGAGATTCTTTTCTTCGTTGATGAGAATACGAGTCCTTTAGCTCTCAGCATGTTCATTTAGGGGTTCTTAATTTCTGGGATCAGGGCCATGGTAGTTTATTCAGGGGACACACAGAACATGGCATGTGTTGCTGGGATGCATCTTTGTGCAAAGCTGCAAGGAAATCAAATCCCCCAAATGGTTGAAAAGTCAGACAACAGCTTCTATGCCTCTGTAGCAGGCACTGCCCATGAGTGGAGAAGTTAAAGAAATATCAGTTTCTGTTTATATGCGCATATCTGAGTGCATATTTTCAGCCTAAAATACTCGAGTGGAGAACAAGTAAGCCTTCTTGTGGGGAGGAAGAGTATGGATGCGTGCGTTGCGGTGAAGAGGGAGAAATGCATTTTTACATTTTTCTGAGCCTGTGCAATGGAGTTGTCAGTTACCCTTGGGTCTAGTAAGGAAGAAAATACCAACTATCTCCATTACTTTTGCTTTCAAACCCACAAACGTATCTGTGGGTGTTTAGGAGGACATTAAGATGACAGTAACAGTTCAGACCGATTTATACATATGAGGATAAATTAATCCGCATGACTTCTAGAACATTAGAGCAGCTATTCAGATTAGCCCAGGGCTGAGCCTCAGAAGTTAGATCATTAGGTTAGAGGAAGACAAAATGTTATAATGTAAGTTAATATTTACTGGATACTTTCTATGGGCCAGGCACTGTTCTAAGCACTGTACATAACTTTAATGTGTTTAATCCTCATGGCAATTTTCCAAATGAGGAAACCAAAATACAAAATATTGGTATTACTGCTCTGAGATTTCAAAGCTGGTCAGGAGGAGGCCGGATTTTGAAATCAGGCTTTGATCGTCTCAGAATTCATGTTCTTTACAACCAGCTGATACTGGTGAGTTGTGTTTTTTTTTTTTGGAGATCGTTTTGCTCTGTTGCCCAGGCTGGCACGATCTCACCATCTCGGCTCACTGCAACCTCCGCCTTCTGGGTTCAAGCAATTCTCCTGCCTCAGTCTCCTGAGTAGCTGGGATTACAGGTGCCCGCTACCATGCCGGGCTTTTTTTTTTTTTTTTTTTTTTTTTTTTTTTTTTTTGTAGAGACAGGGTTTTGCCGTGTTGGCTAGGCTGGTCATGAACTTCTGACCTCAAGTGATGCACCCAGCCTGTTCATTTTTTTTTTCGTAATATTAAAGGTCATGATTCCATCGACTGTCTCCTATGATCATGCTACTGCTCTGTGTGCAAACCAAAGGAATGAAAGAAGAGAAGTAACATAATCATTCTGTATTATTCCAGCTGCCACCACCACCACCATATTCAACAAGTGTTACCTGAGAAATCTGAGTATCTGTGTTTCATGCTGCCACTATCTTGATTATCCGGAAAATCCACTTACTTTCCTTTTCAACTGTACATTTGTATGTAGGTAGACAGAGCTCATGATATTCAGAAATGTGGGGACAAGTTGCTGTAATTTTAATACGGCAGAGCAATTCCTTTGAAATATTTGAAGAGCTGCAAACGCTGAAAGTCTGGCTGGCTTAAATCTGAAGTTTCAGGCACCTGCATCTATGGAATGGACCTCTGCAAAGTGGTAGATGCAGAGCACATTCATTTCCATATCCAGGTATAATTATTACTGTCATGCACCTACATATCCATGACTAAGAATTTATGGGGCATTTTAAATTTCCCTAGCTATAAAAATAGCCTGAATTTATCTTGCAATTCTGAGTGTGCCTCAAAGCTGAAATGAAGACCTTGTCATTGATTTGCTTTGTATTTTTAGTAGGCTGGCTCTGTATCTGCTTAAGATAGAAAGCCAGACTTATTAGTAATTTCTCTATATAAGGTTGTGTGTTAATGACATATTTTATAATATCCCCATAGTGTAATTATTTGATTTTCTGAAGCTTATACAGAATTAACAACCCAGCCTCCAACTGTCTCAGAATGGGGCATGAAAAGTTCACATATTTTGTAAATTAAAATCAATATTTTCAATCTCTCCTAAAGGTAATTTTCCTAATTTAGTAGACTTAAAAGAGAAAGTAGACCATTTACTTTCTCTTTTAATTATAAAATGGCAAGTTATTGGCCAGGTGTGGTGGCTCACGCCTGTAATCCCAGCACTTTGAGAGGGAGACCAGCCTGGCCAACATGACGAAGCCCCGTTTCTACTAAAAATACAAAAGAACTAGCTGGGCATGGTGGCGTGCACGTGTAATATCAGCTACTTAGGAGGCTGAGACAGAAGCATCACTGGAACCTGGGAGGCAGAGGTTGCAGTGAGCCAAGGTTGTACCACTCTACTCCAGCCTGGGTGACAAGAGCAAAATTTCATCTCAAAAAAAAAAAAAAAAAGGCAAGTTATTTATTTTTGTATGTAACGTTTTGACTCCCCGAGTACATTTTTACTGCAAACTCAGAGTGAAGGCAGGAAGAGCCATTGCACTTCTTAATGAGGACCTTTAATTACTATTTGCATTGATCAATTATGACATTCATTCTCCCTCACACATGCATTGCAAAGGAAGCATTGAGAAATTTCTAATATATTTTGGATGGTTTTTGTTTTCTGAATTCTCATCAAGTCATACTTATAAAAAACCTTCTAAATACTTATGCCGTAACAGTCTTCAGACAGATACACATACATAAGCACATCCCATGATATATATTAATATATACCTTCTCCCAGGAGAGATGGGTGGTTTTCTATAAAGCAAGAACAGCATTGATAATTTCTAAATCTAATCATCTCCAGAGTCCTTGGGGTTTATTCAAGACATATGAGGGTAAGTCCCCACACACAAATCCAGGTGAGTCATGAAGCCTTTGGCCAATGTCTATGGCCCTTCTTTAGAGTTTAAGTAAAATTGAAGACAGTAAGGAGAAATAGACTGGGAATATCTGTACCCAGTAGCAGGCCTCGTGTTATTTAGTGTAATTAAAAATAGTGTTTCTAAGAATCTGGAGGAAGAGGCCTCAGAGGGGATTCTTACACTTTCCCTGTCATTGTGAGAATTTCCCTTATCTTCTAATTAAAAAAATATATTTTTAAGAGTAGTATCTTTTAAAGATAATCACGATATCCAGCCAATGAAACTGTTGATTTACGGCCCCTTTAATCTTCATAAATACGTAAAGCAAAATCAAAATAAATAGAAGGTTATACAAAGTTGTCAGCATGGTGCTGACAAATGGTGAATTTATCTGTTTCTCAATTGCCAGTAAGATACACATTGCAAAGCTCACCCACGTTGTATATCATATCTGCCAACTCATTTCTGTGATTAAATATTCCATCAGTGGGGCTATAAGGCAGCAAAGCTTAACAAGATTCATAAGATGCACCACTTGAACACACATAACTCACTTCCATGGATGGAGAGCACCCCGCCTGCAAAGGGAAATTGGAATTGAGTTAAATTATTCCATGAG